AAGAGACACAACGGCTTATCCAAAGACTGACAGACGGACAGCTAGACACTACTCATTACGTTCACAAAAATGACCTGCTTTTTTATAAGTGTTCTCCAGTGGGAGAAGAGCCCAGGTACTTATGCTATGTACCTAAAGGTCATAGGCTTAGTCTGCTTAGGATATTTCATGATGAACATGATCATATTGGCGCTGATAAGACTTTAGAGCTTATTAGAAAACATTTTTGGTTTCCTTCACTAAAGTCATTTGTCAAAAAATACATAAGCCATTGTATCATTTGTTTAACCCATAAAAAGATTCCTAGAGACCCACAGCAGCCAATACATTCTTGGGAAAAACCCTGCACCCCTTTTGAAGTAATTCATACAGACACATTAGGTCCTCTACCTCAATCAAATGGTTATCGCTATGTACTCATTATAATCGATGCTTTTTCAAAATTTTGTCTTTTGTATCCTATGTTTGGTCAAGACGCTAACGAACTGAAACGACTTTTTACAAATGTCATTTCTCTATTTGGTACACCAAAATTAATAGTAGCAGACCGAGGCAGAATGTTCCAGAGCTCAGAGTTTACAAAACTCGTAACTGAGTTGGGCATTGATTTGCATCTGATCACTCCGGAGATGCATCATTCAAACGGGCAGGTGGAGCGTTACTGTCGAACATTGTTAAACATGATTCGCATACAATGCAATCATCGTCAAGATGAATGGGCAGACTTGATGTGGCGATCTCAGCTAGTTCTTAACATAACAAAGCAGAAAACCACTCAGCTTTCACCATTGAACTTGTTGGTTGGTATTGAAGCTGCTACGCCCCTCATACGTCACCTGGTGCGCGACGTGGCCTTGGATAGTTCGCATCCAAATCGTGAAGCGCATAGAGAAATGCACAGACAACGAGCTTCGGAGCGTTTAGCTCGGAACCAACGTCAACAAGACGAGACTGTGAACGCTGGTCGAAAATCCCCCCGATCATTTGAATGTAACTCACTTGTTTTTGTTATTAAGCAGGCGCAATCGACTGGCAAGCTTGACTCCGGCATGCGCGGACCCTATCGCGTGGTCAAAGCGCTTCCCCATGGTCGATACGAGCTGCAACTACTGGCAGGTTCCTATGGCAAATCGACGCAAGCTGCGGCCCAGTTTATGAAGCCGTGGCGCGGGGAGTGGACTCCAGAGACATGCGCTGCATACTTTGATGGTAAGACGTATGATATGCTAACGTCGTGCCTATGTCATACGTTTGTATTCTTTTCATGATACGCTAACGTCGTGCCTATGTCATGTTATTTTAGTGTGAACCATGATAAGCTAACGTCGTGCCTATGTCATGTGTTCATTTTCAAATTTGAGAAACAAGCTAACGTCGTGCCTATGTTTCTCGTTAACAAAGATAGCTAACGTCGTGCTTCCTCTTTGTTGGTTTTGTGAACTAAGCTAACGTAGTGCCTATGGTTCACTGTAAATTGTGTATGTGAATTTTATGATGAAAATCAGTTTCATAACTAATGTTTTTTTTTCCTTGTATGTTTAGGCGCAGATAGCAATGATGATAATGCGGAGTCTACGCCTGAGCAAGCTGCCAATGTCGATACGCAACCCACCATCGATACTTCGCCTGAACCGATGCCTAGCACATCCAGAGCTGCAGAAGCCCTGCAGCCCCAGCCGCAGGAGAACGGGGACGTCCTCCAGTCAGGAGAGGCCGTATTGGCGGAAGAGTGACGTCTTGGCTGTCATCGGAGGGGATGTTGGTGGGAGAAGCTACGGTTGCCTATAAAAGGGCCTGCGCGCTCAGTGGAGTCCTCTTTCTGCGTTGAGTACACATGGTACAAGGGAACCTCTGCTCGTTTGAAGGGTTAAACTGTCTTGTCTGCTATTAATTTTGCGTGTCTTTAGTTTAGATTGATCTATGTTTGTAATTTCAAAATTCGTTATTTAATTAAAATTTAAATTGTTGTTTATTGTAATTGTGTTATTAATAAATAAGATTGTGATTTGTATTTTTTTTTAATATTTTCTTCCTGAAGTTGCCAAAAAGTATTTTTTATCGTAGTACAGTTTAAATATTTTCATGTTAAAATTGTATTGAATATTTTTCAAACAACTTCCTTTTTTATGGAATAGGAGGCAAACGAGCAGACGGATCACCTGATGGTAAGCGCTCGGTGCCGCCCATGGACACCCGCAGCACCAGAGGAGTGACAGGTGCGTTTCCTTGACCGATGAATCACATTAACAATACCTACTATACTCATATCTATTCACAAAAATATGTCTAGTTTGTCGACGGGTTAATATTATTTCTATCTAGTTTCCGCAGCAACAGCGCACGCCACTCATTCAAATTTCGAATAAAAAGATGGTGTCTATTATTAGATATTTTTAAATTTTATTTTTACATTTGCATTAAGTTTGTTAAATCATTTTATATTCAGAAAAAAATGTCACAATTATTATTACATTTCCAGAAACTACTACATTGTTTTGGACCTATTATTACCTATTTTTTTTTAATAACACATGACGCACGCATTTTATAAGAGCCCTGTTGTTGTAAAACTCGTTGAGATTTTTCTGTTTGTTCAATGTTATTTTCAATAATATATAGGTATAATACTACACAAATATATTTTTATTTTTTGGCAAAACCTCGGTATAAATAATGCTGTCATCAAGATTTTGACCATAGGTAAAATGGAGTAGGATAGGTACAATAAACTTTATCCCTACCGGTGGCAAAACAAATTGGAGCTATGAATTGTTAGATCAGGGATTATCTATCATGCTTAAAACACTTGGATATTTTTACAATTTTTCCTCCATATAATATATGGAACAGTTCGTTTGATAGAATCAACTGATTACCTATAATAATTATTTTAATGTGAAATTGAAACTTTATGACATAAAACCTTTTGCAATTTGAAACTATATATTTTGTGACTTCCAGTCATTTTTAAAGTCAATATTTTCCCGCTAAACATTCGAAACTTCAAAATTTAAATAGTATTTTTATAAAAAGCAACTTTTTAAATTTGAAACCTGTTTATTTAGCTTTCTTTTAGAAAGATTAATTTTTTATTTCTAAATATTTTATTTATTAATAAATTTTGCAATAATTACAGCGATTCTTACCTACATTCAAATCTAATGGTCAGACTGGAGGTTACCCCGATCTTTGGTAATTCAGACGTTTTATTATTTCGTTAATACACGACTGTAGGTATTACAAAATAATAAAGACAACATTCCTGCTTAGATTTTTTTACAAATTTCTTTTCATTTGTAAACTTCCGAAGTTATTCTGGTTTTAGGATATGAGCTTGTGAGCGCACTGAGGGAAAAATCAGTGTATAAACTTCAGGTTGCTTTATTTTTTTTAATCCAGTCTGACCCAAGTAACACAGGCTAACAGCTGTGCGTCGTACGCGTGTATAATAAATACTACGACTAATATCAGTGACTAGCATCGCCATTCTAGTACTTTTAGTTAATTATAAACAATTTTAATCCTTAAATAGACGAGTTTAGGCCCTTTTTACACGCTCCGGTTTCCGGATAACCCGTGTTAGGTACCAAGATGCAGTATTTTACCATGTAATGCGTTACCTTAAACACGGATATTTTCTATCGGACTCGGATAGCAGGCTCCAGTAGGCCTACCATGACGTGTTCAAGCGTGAATCTTCCGGGCGAGAAAGAGGGATGGAGCTATACACCTTTTATAGCTCCATCCCTCTTTCTCGCTTTAACACATCATGGTAGGCTCTCAGCTAACCGTAAGCCGGAATGTCTAAAAAGGCGCTTAAGAAACTCACTGAATGTTGCCTGACGAAAATTTTGATCTTTTGCTGTAGGAGCTCGGTATTAAAATTTCGCATTGGATTTACTTGTGGTGTATTATGGTAATTGGTACTCAAAACCTTGCCATCAGACCTTTACTTCATTTGTCATTTAAATGGCGTACCTAAAAGTTATTAAATTATTTAGGTAGGTAACCTAGTTTACCTATTTCGAAATGTCAGACATCAATTCAATAAATTCACTTAAAATGTAGTTAAATATAGGTATATAAACTAAATAATCATGGTTCCTGTTTTTCGTTTCAAACGTAATTTTAGACGTAGATTACTTCAAATCAACGTTTTTATAGTGAAATGATCACTAGATCGAGATTAACCTTGGTTCATTTGTTTTTAACGTACCACGGGCGAAGTTAGGAGGAGAAAAAATTATTGTGTTACTAAATTTTAATATAATATCAAAGTAACTCTGTCTGTGTGTCTTTTCTTCACGCCTAAACTACTGAACCTATTTGTGTGAGGTACAGACATAGTTTAGAACTCGAGTAAGAACAAAGTCGCGGGCAAAACCTAGTATATTACAATATTTGTATTCGATTAATTATATAAATATTGAGTTGTTAATCACTATATAGTATAAAACAAAGTCGCTTTATGTGTCTCTATTTCCTATGTATGCTTAAATATTCAAAACTTCGTTACGGATTTTGGTGCGGTTTTTATCATTATTATGTTTAAAAACATCCATTAAAGAGTTTTATTATCGGCATTGTACCCGTGCGAAGCCGGGGCGGGTCGCTAGTTTGATATAAGTTGTAATGGTCACTATTACCTACAGAATAACTAATAATTTTTTTAATAATGTCCTATTTCGTTCTCAATTAATTAATTCTTCCTCCTAAATGCCCATCCACCATACATCAATACTCTACAAAAACTTTTTTACCCTTATACATAACCTTACTTTATTTTTTTTATTTCATGCCAATTTTAGTTAAAGCCCATTCTCTTTAAACGAACACATTCAACATCGATACTTTTTTATTCACATTTACCAAATACATTATCGTAAACACTTATTAAACTGGTCTTATACAAAGCTCTAAGATTTTTTCCAACTTACCTATCCACGGTTTTTAAAACGTTTTAGGGCTGAATTTTCAATGGTTAGGTTAGGTAACTTTTATCTATTATACAATTATGATGCTGTCGCGTCAGAATGTTTGTGTAAGACAGTGACAGCAACAATTTTATTCCTCAGATAACATTTATGTGACTATTGAAAAATCAGCCCTTAGTCACATAATGCGGACAAAATTATTATTCAATTTTAAAATCTCAATCGAACTCGATCAATTTTTTGAACAGCATTAATTTCAAAAAACGAACTTATCTTGATTCTGATCTCGATTAATAATTTTTACTTTTATATTTAGGTATTTGTCTAACGTTTGCCATTTCCAACAAATTGCTTGTTTAAATATGTGTGTGTTCATGGCATTTAACTTCTTTTATTTCTTCTCCTGTTTACCATTAAATGGAACCCGTAATCTCGACCTCGTTAAGCTTTAAACACGATATTTAAGATTTTCACACGCGAGATTTTAAACCTTAATCTTATTGAAATAAGAACTACAGCTACGACAGCTATGATGTTATATTATTTAAAGTCTGTGTGCATGAAAATTCAACAATTATGATAAATATCGTCAACAATTTTACAAATAATGTATACCGATCATGATTAGGAATAATTTTTACCATTAGGTAAAAGTCACTTTTACCCCATGTGCAGTGAAGATTACCACGAATGGTTTTCAGTCGAATTTGCAGAGGGTAAAATGGACTCCTGAGGGTAAAAGTTACTCTCAACTATCCCCCCCTCATTTTTGATGTTTCCCCTAAAAATACCAATTAATCAGTATTCTTATAAGTATGGAGGGGTCAATCTTATAATTAACATTATTACAATTTGACAAAAGTGATTTATTAACTAAATTCCTAAGTTTTTTAACGTTAACCATCTTTGGATAGAAATCTCTCCTTCTTTCCTTCAATCTTCGTAAGTCTTTTCATTCGGGTCCGCTTATAACTAAATCATTGATACTGAATATTATAATACATAGAATAAAAATGAGATTTTTAATTCAAATATTGTCTGTAAAATGGATTATCTTCAAAATTATTTAAAGTTTCATAAATAAACCGCCCAATACTTAAATATTTTAATCCTAAACAATACAATCGGTTTGGCGGTTACGAATAAACTATTTAAAAACAGAAATGAGAAATTCAAAAGTAACGGTCATTCATCGACGACGTCCATTTTGAATGTAGTCGGCTTTCGACCAATGGGCTTCATCGCTAGCCTCCGAACGTTTCCTTTTGTGCTATTTGTATTTAGAATTTCCTCGTCACTACTGCTCGAGTCCTCGAAGCGGCCGGTCGTGCGTACGTTGTCCTCTGAGTCTGAAGACTGTGAAAATGGAAATAAATTGATTTATAAATTTAAAGTAGAATTTATATGTAGTTCTAATCTTGCATAAAAACGGTTTTGGTTGCTAAGAAGTGCATCTAATTGTAATAAGTGTTCAATTATTTATAAATTTTTGATAAATGAAAAATATGAGAAAGTGATTATGCATAGTTATGATAAGCAGTGCAAGGGTGAAAAAACTGATTTTGTTATTTACAATGTTACAAACATTTATTAAAAATACTCACATCGATAGGTAGGGACTAAATACAAAATAAAAACCAACAGCAAAATTATATTTATTTACGTAAAAACATGCATAACGTAAAAATAACGATTATTACCTATTTCGTGTGCCATCGACAAAATATGTAATATTTGACATTACCTAAATTTATTAGTGGGCAGAATGGTAAAATTCATATTGGTAACAATTTTTTGCAAAAAAAAACTTAATAAAAACATTTCAAAAATCATGCAAAGCATTCATTTATGAAACCGGCAAATATCGTCAAATATAGCTAAAATGTTTAAGTACAATAACATAAATTGTTATGAAATACTCTTAATAAATAAGCTTCGCCACGTATGGGTCGGCTCGATCGGATTGATACCACGGCTTTACAGGAAACCGGCGTGAAACAACCACATTGTTGTGTTTCACCGTGTGAGTGACCACCAGGTTACCAGAAGCCCCATTAAACCCCTCTTCCAATCCCTAAATATCACCATTCCCAAATGGACGGCAACGTTCTCGTAACTCCTCCCTGGTTGCGGGTGTCTATGGTCCATGGGTCCATGGGCGGCGCTAATTACTTACCATCAGGTAACACGTCTGTTCATTATGGTATAAAAAACTAAAGATATGGCTCAGTATGGATACACTGATTCTGTATTCTGTATCCCGATTTTTTCTTTATTTAATATTTTTAGTTATATTTGGCGATATTATATTGTTTTTAAGTTGGTACGCTATTAATAATTTAAATCCCAATTTGACAAAGATTTTTTAAATAATAATACGATTTGATTTTTTTACACCACAAAGATCAATTAAGGTGTGGCGTTACTACTACTACTATACGTACATATTTTGACACATTTCTTATGGATAAAAAACCTCAACTCTTCAATTCTCAGTAGTTACCTGTAGGTGATATGTTTTTTTTTGTGAGGGGTATCAAATCACTTCTCCCACCCAAGGTCAGGTGGAAGGAAGTGTCAAGACTCTTACTGACTAAACCCCCCCCCCCCCGTTCCTTCTCCTGATCTGGGCCGAGGCCGCGGTGTCTCATTGCGCTTACCCCGCAACCCGCTTATAGGGCCCCGTCTGTGGTGGTCTGGTCGTCGGATCTGGTTCTGATTGGGCGGCGAGCTACCCTTACTCGCCGTCCGCCTGACCCGCGCTTACAGTGGCCGGAGAACAGACAGAGTAGGTCGGAAGGGGTGTGATTTTCTTATTCTTATTTTTCGTTTTAAATGAACACATAATTCACTGGATCGTTAAACTAAGATTATAATAAGGTATTTCTCTGGAAATAGGAATTGAAGAGCCAAATTATCCATCTATGTCAATCAGTAAGACCAACAAAAATAGCGTCCATTATCGTCAACTTTGCCGTAGTTTTCAACACACTTTATATTTGTATACATTTTGTGCCAAAATCATAACATCTAAATATGTATCTCTAGCAAGCAAGTAAACACAGGTTATTGTAAATGGCCGTTACCGATGATGTCAAATAGGCCGTTAGTGCAAACGGCCGGTAAAACGGCAAAGTTAACACCTCTAGACCCAATTTTTATTAGATCTTTTAGATCGATATATTTTGCATTGTCAAATAGGGATTTGTTTTTGTGCTAAAAGCGAGTTTGGAAAAGACACGAACATTTATTTCTTGGGGCGGCCACGTGCGATCACTTCTGGCAATCGTTTGTTGGGCCTCTCATCACTGCTGTCCATGCCCTGGAGGTGATATTTGATTGAAGATATTTACATGTACATTGACTTAGTAAAAATAACAAGTACCTAACCTAATTTTAAAGACATGATACAGGTATAAATAAAAATTGAGATCTGACTTATTTCTTTATACAATTCCAAAACAATGTTTATTAAAAAATATGTAAAAGATTTTTTTTACTTTTTTTTTATTTTCAAAAAATCTGAAACCAAACCAAAATGAAAGAAGATGTACTATATAGCTCAAAGACTGAATCGTAAAGTGCAACATTAGAAAGAAAACTTTGTATTTTTACTGTCACTCTGTACCGACTATTATTTGAGAATTTTATACTCGTAATCAAGCTTTTTTCCTAAAAAAATAATTTACAATAAATACAAATTTTTTGACAGCTTGCGCTTTACTGCGGTTTCGAATCCCGCACGCAAAAACTCTTTTTGTAATATATAAATTGTTGTTCCAGGCCTAGGTGTGCCACGACACAGGAGAAAATACTAGTGTAGTGGAACTTTTTTTTTTAATATAAAATGATTCAGTCTTCGAACCCAAGCAATATGGATCTTACATCAAAGTCGCCGATAGTGAATCTGGTGCCGGCTGCCTCGGCCACGAGTTGCGCAGGCGCAGGTGGCGCGTTCTCAGGTGACAGGACCTTACCGCCACACATTAACGCATGTACAACAATTAGCATGGAGTGATATGACGTTAGTTGGGACACAGTCAGATGAGGGGGAGGGGGGATAAAATAGGACTAAAGAAAACAAAACAGAATTAAAGATAAAAGATAAAATAAACCAAAGAGAGATAAAGAACAAAATTAAGGAAAGGAATTTCTTTTAGGGCTGATTTTACAATAGTCAGATAAATGTTATCTGAGGAATAAAATTGTTGCTGTCACTGTCTTATACAAACATTCTGACGCGACAGCATCATAATTATTACCTAGGTAACTTTTATCTAACTATTGAAAAATCAGTCTTTAATCTTGGAAACAAACCGGAATAAGTTAATACATTATTGAAGATAAAAGGACAAGGCTAAAAGAAACAGGAAAGGAATTCTAATATTTTCTGACTGTGTCCTTGTTATGATGGAAAAGTGGATCAAGTTTGATCATCCGCTACTTCTTGATTTAGTCACAAAGAAGTAAGTAATACTTAGTAGACGAAATTTGAAAATTATCACGCTGGACAGGCGATCATTAAGGTAAATTCAGAGCTTTGTAGAATTGTTTCTACAAGTTTTCTATAAAACTTTCAAGTTTATATATCAATGTCAACTATCAATTTAAAGAGTAAAAAAACGATTAGGATTTTTGGATGTTTGTTACTCAATCGCGCCAAAACAGCGGGATGGATCTGGATGAAATTTGGCACAGACATAGGTTACACTCCGAAATAGGACATAAGCTAGACTTTTTATCAACATACCACGCGGGTGAAGCCGCGGGCGGATGCTAGTTATACTATAAAATTTACGCCATTTTAAGTTTATATATGGAATCTTAGAATGGCACAAAATTTGTCTATCTAAAATCTTTTTCAAAAATGTTCTTTGACATATTGCGTATAAGTATCTACAAAGTTTCATTATTATCAGTTTTGGGAACGCTCTTAAGAAAAGATGTAGCTTGCCTGTGAAACATTTAAAATCTTTTTTAATCAATTTTTCATATTAATAAAGTCTTTGGGCCGTTGTTGCAAGCGGTTACCGTAACTAGTGCATTACTAGTGATATCATTGGTCGCCGGTGCCCTACAGTAGCGGACGATTTGCGTTCAATAGTTTTCTACGGGCAGTCAAAGACCTAAGTGAATTTAGAATTTTTATAACTAACTAGCTTTTTGTCCGCGGCTCCGTTCGCCTGTTATAGTGACTTCCTGCAGATTTTTGGTATAAAAACTATCCTATGTCCTTCCTCGAGTTCCAAACTACGTCTGTTCCAAATTTCACAGAAATATCCAGTAGTTTAGGCCTGAAGAAAAAACAGACAGACAGAGTTACATTCGCATTTATAATATTAGTTTGGATGATCAAATTTAAAACACTTTTCTGTTTACAAAGTTATTTACAATATGTATCTAGCTTTAATGAAATGTAAGTATATGTAAACGTTTAACATTAATTCCAAATGATATTGTTAGCTTTAAACACACAAACACACAAATAAATGGTAATGATAGTAGCTTAGAAAATATTCAGCAATAGTTATTTTTCCATCTAGGCATCGACTAAGGGGTTACAAAAAACAAGAAATGAATTTTCAACCACCTTTAATTAATTAGCCTTCATAAGTTTTCTGTTTGTAATCGAAGGCTAAGCCCTTAAGGATGTACGAATATCAATTAATTTGGCTTACAAACCCTAATTCAGAATACAAGACGTAGGATATTCAGTTTTTTTCAATTTTAAAATTCTCAGTCAAAAATGGCGTGAAAAGTCCGTTCGTACGAAATCCTCATATGCTTATCTTTGGAAAAGGATTACCAAATAATTTTCCATTTTCCATAATCTTCCATATGAGTTCAAATAAGCCCAAAAGGACCAAAATTCTTGCTATAACATCTGCATAGAACTGAATCAGTATTCGTTTCTAAGGACCAAATGGTCGTCAATACTTACATCTTGGTCGCTCATCATTTCCTTGGTAGAAACGGTAGTTTCAATCCTCCTGATGGATCCCTGGTGGATGTCCACGTCGAATTGGAGACATTGGAAGCGACGGAGTAGAAGGACCACGGGTATGGGCAAAACTCCTGCTAGTATCATCAACACTGCGATCACAAGGACCCAGTTCGGGTATGGAGTTTTTATAACGCGACCCTGTAAAGAATATTATATTATGTTTAGTAAAATTATTGAATTAACACACATTTATTTACATTTTGGACTATGGTGACGGATAACGGAAGAAGACGGCCAGAAGAAGAGTTTTTAGAAATTTTTTTTTTAATGTAATACGTTAAGCCATCACCGCTACCCATGGACACTTACAACATCAGAAGAGCTAAAAGTGTGTTGCAGCCTCTTGGGGATTTTTTTGGATTTTATGCATTAGGGAGGGAACAGGAACATTATAGAACTTAGAAATCGTCCTCTTCAATCACTCTATATGCTAAAAAAGCCGCATCAATTCAAAATCCGTTGCGTAGTTTTAAAGACTTAAGCATACATAGGAATATAGGGACTGATAAAGCGACTTTGTTTTATACTATGTAAGTATGTACTGTTTACATAACAATCACAAGTTCAAACTATTCATGGAATTTCTTTAATTTAAAGTTAATAAATTCAACATTACAATTCCTTTTATTTTTTTTTACACACAAAAAACGACTAATAGGATTGCAATGATGATCCTTGTCAATATTTCTTTACCATATTTTAGATTTTTTATTAATATTATTTTGTGTAGGTACTGGAAATGCGGACAACGTCGTAGGAAGACATCTAGTCATGAAACCAAGTGGCAAATACAGTGATAAGTGGTTAATAAGTGGGTCACAATACTTATTCGTTATCAGTATAAAAGGCAATACCCTTATGGAAATGGTTACATAGATACAGGAAAGATTAATAGTTACTACAGGAAAGATATATATTTTTTATTCCGTTACAAATTAGATGAGTTTCCACCTTTTTTTGTCAGGGGAAAATCATCAATCCGTAGGCCCGTATGCCTATCCTATCACATAAAAAAATAATTACTCAACAAATATTCTGCTTGATCCTGGAATTTAATTCAAGGCTTACGTAACGGTGGAGTTTGTATTTATTTATGTAACAAAATAGACCCAAAGATTTTATGACCTTCGTCTCGATTACTCGAATGACTCATAAAACGCATAAACATTGTTCGAGGAAAACTGTTATCTTGTTACTTAGTCGTTCCGCACATTTATAAATAACAACATCTTTGTAATATGTATATATGTGTATGTGTATATAATACTCACAGATTTACATAAAATTTGCCTTAAAATTAAGTTACTATTAATTAGGTACAATATTTTTTTGTAACTTAGTGTTGTAGGGGCATTGTTTTTTGGAACGGCGGTCCCCAAATTAGGCGAGGCCTGTATCTTGGATATAGATATTTATATGTTCACTTCAAAAATGTCTAATTATTATTTTTTGTTTCTATCAAACGAGCTGACGGATTATCCGATGGTAAGTAAACGGCTGCAGCATAGACACCCGCAACACCAATGGAGTTATGAGTGCGTTGCCTTTTGGTGATTAGGGTTTCGGTGATTTAGAGATTGAGAAGGGAAAGATTGGGGGTGGTAAAGAAGGTTTGGGCCCCCAGTAACCTCACTCATACGGCGAAACACAACGCTGTGCTTGTTTCACGCCGGTTTTGCTGTGAGGTTTTATTATTGTTAAGCGCATTGGACTAATTCAATGAAACTAAGTCCTCTCTGTCTAAGTTTTAAAAGTCTAGCCTGTTATTTTTAAAACTAATCATAGTTCTTGACTACTTTTAATAGGGGTGTAAATAAAAAACAACTTATTAGTCCGTCATCACGTCATTTGGATTGTATTGCCTGCACAGTTGGCACAATGGCTGGGCAACTGCAACGACGACGCTCGATTCCTACACGGAACAACTCTTTGTATGATCCATAACTGTTGTTCCAGGTCTAGGTGTGATACGTAGGTATATGAAATTATATATTTGTAAAAAAAAAGAAAAGTGATTTTAATGTGTGGTATAATAAAACAATACTTAGATAAAACGAATTAATGTTTAAAATTGGGAACTAGACACGTCACGTCACGGGGGTTTAGTCAGTAAGAGTCTGACTAAACCCCTCCCGCCTGACCCTAGACGGCAGAAGTCTTTTGATGATCTTTCCCCACAAAAAAGGTTTCGTCACGATGTTTTCTTTCACCATATATCAGTCTGAGTGTTGTCTAAATAATCATAGACACCACTATAACTTGGAAAAGGTCACAATGGTACTTGCCAAGCTTGAGAAGCGAGCACCGTAATCTCCGGAATACCATGACGCACAATTACTTCGTACTAACAAAGCAAACTGGGTATTTCCAACCTACAATACGTCTAAGAGTTCTATTCACGTTGTTACCGCAAATTGTATTTATATTTCGAACGAGCACGCACAGTACTCTACGATTGCTATAGTAAAATGGTCAAGTGTTTTGTTATTCTATTAAGTATTGTACTTCAGTGCTATGGTGAAAAATACCAAGTTGTGACGAGAAAAGGGTTAATAGTTGGTGATAGACATGATGAGTACACCACTTTCCTTGGTATACCCTACGCTAAGGTTAATGAGGAGAATCCGTTTGGGGTAAGTTTTAATTTTATTTACATATAATTAAGATTTTCCCGCTCAAATTTATAATCTATGATGGTCGCGTCGGAAAAATTTAGAAAAAAAAATGGAATAAAGCCTTTTTTGTATTATTTATTTTTGTCTTTTGCGGGCACAACTTTTTTTCGTAAGTTTATTTTTCAAATATGTCCTGACAATAAAATTAATGAGCATGATAAAATTTATTCCTTTTAATTCGAATATTACATCTTTTTTTGTGTTAATGTTTTATGTTTGTTTATAAATAATGTTGTTTTTTTTGTTACTTAAATTATATTCGATTATTAGGTTTTTCATAATTAATTAGAATTAAAATATTTAATAAATAAAAGGTTGCCAGTTTTAAAACGAATCACTTTTTTTACAAAATACCTAAATCGATTAAAATAAAAAAAGTGTTTTAGCGGTTTGGTTTTCATTATGAATGTTTTAGTTTTTTTATGAAATTGTTTTTTATTTTATACTGTATTCCAATTTTAATATTAAGATTACATCAGGTCTTAATAAAAAAAAAATAAGATAAAGATTCTTATAGTGTCGTGTATATCGAATCTAGAAATTTCAAAAAGAGAAACAATAAGTATATAACGGAAAATTTGTCTGTACAGGAATCAAAGAGAGTTATAATACAAAACTTATGGGTTTTTTTTTTGTGATTCACAAGTCTTCTTGGTACATAATATTGTATGACAAATTATAATAAGGAAAATAGTGAAGTATTTACGTGTAACAATCAACGAACTAATAAAGTAGACTTAACATTTATTAAATATATATTTCCCTGTGTTTCTACAATAAATAGAGAAACTGTGAATACGTACAATATTTCAAAGATATACTTAGGTTCCTTTTTTATATCAATCGTCGGCAAACGAGCAGACAGATTACCTGATGGTAAGCAATCAGCGCCGCCCATGGATACTCGTAGTACCAAAGGAGTCACTACAAGTGCGTTGCCGGTTTCTTGTAAGTTATTAGGGATTTAAGGGTAGGCGATTTGAGGATTAAGGCTGGGGAGGCAGGATTGGTTGCGTTCTCGTCAATTAATTAAAATAACTTTGACATTTTATTTTGAACTGTCAATATCGACAGTTAGGTATAAACCGTGTAGGTACGGAATTTAATATTGTGATGTCATATTTTTTTACGTCAAACAGCATCGGGTTTTTTAAGTAATCGCTACCCATACACCATCATTTTTTATTGTTGTTGTCCTGTGCGAGTCTGAATGAATGTTTTTTCTTTCTTTCTTCTTTCATCACAACATTGAAGAGTTACAAATGTGTTGCCGGACTTTAAAAGGGTAGGAGGGGGAAAAGGGGGGATGGATGGGTTGGTTGCCTCAATTTGGGTTTTGCAAAACATTAGGTACTAGTTTCTTTCGGTTTTCCAATAACGGTGGAGGCCAATAGTCCGCTATCCATTACCTGGGCCTCATAACCTAGATGGTGGAAAAGGTTGAATTGAAAACTGTGGTTGCAAGAGTAATAATTTACCTCAGTCCTGACCTAGAGCAGGGGAAGGACCAGTGGGCCTACCATGACGTGTTAAAGAGGACGAGAAAGAGGGATGAAGCTATACACCTTTTATATCTCCATCCCTCTTTCTCGCCCGGAAGACTCAAGCCCTCAGGATGGTACTTAGTCAGTAATTGCCTGGACACTCCCTCTCGCTCCGCCCACAGTCGGATAAGACATTTGTGGACTATCGACCTCAAAAAAAATCCTTCCATTTTAGGGTATAAAAAGTCGGTGACGCTATGTCACTGATGTTATGTCATCACAGAATTTATTCAAACGAGTGCCTATTATGTTTAATGAATATTGATTGTTAAGAACACGTATAGGTACCTAATTATTATTAGTCGCGTCTATTATACTTTAAAATGGTCTCGTACAGGCGCTACAATAGATCAGGCATAGATTTATAAATATCCATGTATTTAACTACACAACTGAAGCGATAGCTAGGCAACTGCCTACAGTACAACGTAGCGCATGTTAGATTCCCGAGCGGTGGCGACCTCTCGCGCCCGGCCTTAGTCGAGGCCATGGTGCTAAAGGAACTGGAAAGCCTATCTTTCTGTGAAGCAATTATGCTCGCAAAGGAAGAGGCGAAGCGCGTGTGGGAGCTATCCCCCCCCCCCTACGTCCCAGCCACCACAGTAGCCAACACTCCGGGCGTCGGGGATCGAGAGACGATCCCCGGCTGGTAAGGGTTGCTCGCCTCCCGACCAGACTCAGACCCGAGCGTACGGCGCCTAGCGTTCCATGCGCGCCTCTGAGAGCCAATAGACCACCATAGACGGAGCACTACAGGGCTTATGTTCAGCCGGGGTAAGCGCAATGAAGCACCGCGGCCTCGGCCTAAAGCAGGAATAGGAACGGGGGTTTTTAGTCAATTAGAGTCTGACTCTCTCTCTCGTCTCACCCTAGGTGGGAGAAGTCATTTAATGACTTGCCCGTAGCAAAAAAAGGTTAGATTCTCGATCGGAACAACTCATAAACTATGTAATCCGCAAATTAATATTCCGGGTTGGGAGTGTGAAGTTAAGTTTCTAAAAGAACCCATAATGCAGGTTTAAATGAAAGTGTTAGGCAAAGTTTAAAAAAAAAGTGTTGGTACGTGAAAGGCTCGGGAACAGCATTCGCCAGATATCACCTTCAGTAATTTTTCGCCAGTTGTGTACCAGGTAGTAGGAAGTGAAATCAGGCTCCAGGCACGTTCAGAGACTATGCAATCTTCGAAACCAAAAACCAATGCACCGACCCACGAAGGTTAACTCATAAGTCCAATGTGGTAATTTGTAATTTCATTTTTCTTTTCCAGGCCACCTTAGAATACCCGAAATTTGACAGGCCATACATCGCCAACGACTCATCAGTGATATGCCCACAAGTGTACTTCAACGACAACGGTACCATACAATGTCTTCAACTCAACATTTATGCACCAAACACGGCTAGCAGGAACAACTTAATGCCAATACTGGTCTGGTTCCACGGCGGAGGTTTCGCTTTTGGCAGTGGAGGGGAATATGGCGGCAAGTACTTGGTCAAAAAGAATATAATTGTCATAACAGTCAATTACCGACTAGGTGCTTATGGCTTCTTATGTTTGGATAATCCACAAGTACCTGGTAACCAAGGTATGAAAGACCAGATTGAAGCTTTGAGGTGGATCAGAAGTCACATTGTACATTTCGGTGGTGATGCCAATAAAGTCACCATCGCTGGTGAGAGCTACGGCGGAGGAGCAGTAGATATACATTTGTATTCAAAATACGAAACTCTATTTCACAAAGCTATCGTCCAAAGTGGTTCTGTTTATGTAACTGAAGGGATTTTCGTAAAACCAGACTATCACGCTGCAATAAAACTCGTAACAAATTTAGGATATGATGTGACGACAACTCGCGAAGCTCTGAGAATACTTGCTAAATTGAATCCTACTGATGTAAACGCCGCGACCAGAAACATGAGTATGGTCCTGACGCTTTGCGCGGAAAAGCAATTTAAAGGTGTACAAAACTTCATAACAGAAAACCCTTTCGCATTGCAGAACTCAGACAGAATAGATGGTATGCCAATAATGATAGGGTACACGAGCCAAGAAATGCTATTCGAGTTCGCGAACAAGCCGCAGTCTTTCTACGATAATATGAAGGATCCCTTTACGGTGCAGATTGAGAAAACGTTTGCTTTGAGTAAGAAAGAACTTGAAAAGATCAGTAGTATTGTAAGGCATTTCTACCTGGGATACAAAGACCTTGGGCCCGAAGTGGAATTGGAACTGAGTAACTTTTTATCGGATTTCTCAATAAACTATGGGGCTGAGTGGTCTACCAACAGGTACGTTGAGCAGGGGGCCACGGTGTTCAAGTATTTGTTCTCGTACACTGGTGCGAGTGAATATATGAATATCACAGACGCAGGTGCATCTCACACCGAGGAACTGAAGTATCTCTTCGATTGGATTTGGGCTGCCCCGCTGAGGAATCCTGAGCAGCTCATGATGCGAGAAAGGATGATAAGAATGTGGGCGAATTTCGTCAAGTATGGGTAAGTTCGTTGGTTGAAAGCCAAAGTGGCTATATATTGTTATTGTTTGGGTACAATTTTCTCTGAACTTAATAGTACAATTTAATGTATTATGATCCAACCCGCACATAATCTTTAAAAACCTTAAAGGCACTTTACTCTTGACCTGATGGTAAGCAATCAGCACCGCCCATGGTCGCCTGCAACTCCAACAATTACCACCCGGCACCACAAGACCTTCGCTGCTCCTTTGTGGGTTGTCGGGGATTAGAGGTTTGGAGAATTTGAGAATGGGGGAAGGTAGGAAATGACTGGACTGGACCTCCGGTATCTCTTTCTAAAGCCGGTTTTCTATGGGTGATATCACTCCTCCATTGTTAAGGTCTTTTTGTATGTGATAGGACGGCAAACGAGCTAATGTATTACCTGATGGTAAGCAATTAGCGCCGCCTATCGAAAACCGCAACAAAAGAGGAGCTACGAGTGCGTTGTCGGCCTTTTGGGGATTAGGGATTTGGAGATTGGGGAAAGATTAGGGAAATGGAAGTTTTGGGCATCCAGTAACCTCACTCATACGGCGAAACACAACGCTGTGGTTGGTTCATGCCGGTTTTCTGTGAGGCCGTGGTATCACTCCGGTCGAGCCGACCCATTCGTGCCGAAGCATAGCTCTCCCACAGTTTTAATAGTTGGCTTAGACATACTTAATATTGAATGATTTCGTATTTTCCAGGAACCCTACTCCTGCAGATTTCCATCCGTTGAAATGGACTCCTGTCACAGAAACTTCTAGACCCTACATGAATATTGACCTTGAAATGAAGATGAAGCAGAGCACTTTCAGGCATAGAATGGCATTCTGGAACCTATTCTGGCACGTCTATTCAAATAATCATGTTCTTTTAAATTAAGGGCATTTATTTAAATTCCTTAGGGCTGATTTTTCAATAGCCACATAAATTTTATCTGAGGAATAAAATTGTTGCTGTCACTGTCTTATATAAACATTCTGACGCGACAGCATCGTAAATTATTCCCCAGGTAACTTTTATCTAACCATTGAAAAATCAGTACAAAGTAACACAAAAATGTAATTGAAAAGATTAATTTTAATATTTGTAAATCGAATTACAATTTTGGAAGGTTTTTTCAGAATTCAGAAGTCAGAATCAGAAATACTGCGAACCTACGCCTACGTTTAAAATAAAAAGTGGAGCGTTCAAAACAAACGCTAAGAGAATTGTGTGAATACAAAATTTTTCTTGTTTTTTTTTTGTTGTCTTTTGACATGTTTTTTAAGTTTGAATTAGTTTTTTGCACTTTGTATTGAGTGCTTATGCTAAATGACTTAAAAAAAAACTAAGAAAGTTTCCAATGTTATGTAGCGAAATTTTAAAGCTTACCTAAGTATTTTCTTATTTCGATAGAACAAACAAAACAGAAACGTGTTATAATGTAATTTTTTTTTTTGAATTGAACGGTAATGAATGTAAAAAATTAAGTATATACATATTATGTAAAATATATAACAATTATTAGCCAATTAAGAAACTTAATAAATAAAAAAACAATTTTATAATTCAACTTTATCTAAAATTATAACAATAAATAGTTTGTTTTGTAGCTCTAATATTTTATTTATTAACTAAGGGCTGATTTTTCAATGGTTACATAAAAGTTACCTGGGCAACTTTTTTACAATTGAGCAACATTTTAACAAACTAAATGACCGTATTTATGCTCAAAGCTCTAAGGAAGCTTCTCAATTAGTCGACAGAGTGCAACGTGGGTATTATCCGACTTTAGTGATAGTTTGGTGGGGTGTTAGCTATGAAGGAGTGACTGAGCCATACTTTTGCGAAAAAGGTATCAAAACATCGGCACAAGTGTATCAAAATACCATTCTTGAGAAGTTAGTTAAGCCCCTTAACAACACCATGTTCAATAACCAACAATGGTCCTTCCAGCAAGACTCGGCGCCGGGTCATAAAGCTCGGTCCACGCAGTCTTGGTTGGAAACGAACGTTTCCGACTTCATCAGAGCTGAAGACTGGCCGTCGTCTAGTAACAGTATTTATGGCCAGACTATGTATACCTAACACAGAAACAAGAGACGAAAAGTGAAAGTGTGTTAGGGCTGTTTTTTCAATGGTTAGATAAAAGTTACCTGGGCCTGGGGTATAATTATGATGCTGTCGCGTCAGAACGTTTGTATAAGACAGTGACAGCAACAATTTTATTCCTCAGATAACATTTATCCGACTATTCTAAAATTTGTCCTAACACACTTTCACTTTTCGTCTCTTGTTTCTATCTTAGGTATATATAAAATTTTCGTGTGACTATGTAAGTTAGCTTACACCTCCAAAACGGCTTTAGGTACTTATTTTTACCAAATTTTATATGCATATTCAGTAGCTCTGATGATATCGGCTATTTTTCGTACCCCTAAGTGATCAGAGTTTTTCACGCTTAACATATTTTTTTTTCGAAACAATCTTAATGCGTAGCAACGTTTCCCGGGTCAGCTAGTGTATAATATAATTTATAATTTCCAAAAGTTTTCTCAACCTTTAAGGCCTCAATCCTGGAGCTATATCTTCTTTTTATATATAAAAGTAAGTCGTGTTAGTTACACCACTTATAACTCAAGAACGGCTGAACCGATTTAGCTGAAAATTGGCAGGGAGATAGTTTAGAGCCAGGAGAACGACATAGGATAGAGTAGGTTAGGTAGAGTAGGGTAGGTAGAGTAGGGTAGGTAGAGTAGGGTAGGTAGAGTAGGGTAGGTAGAGTAGGGTAGGTAGAGTATGGTAGGTAGAGTAGGGTAGGTAGAGTAGGGTAGGTAGAATAGGTTAGGTCGAGTAGGGTCGGCAGATTAGTGTAGGTAGAGTAGGGTATGTGGAGTTGGGTAGGTAGAGTAGCGTAAGGTAGAGTAGGGTAGGAAGAGTAGGGTAGGTAGAGTAGGGTAGGTAGAGTAGGGTAGGTAGAATAGGTTAGGTCGAGTAGGGTCGGCAGATTAGTGTAGGTAGAGTAGGGTATGTGGAGTTGGGTAGGTAGAGTAGCGTAAGGTAGAGTAGGGTAGGAAGAGTAGGGTAGGTAGAGTAGGGTAGGTAGAGTAGGGTAGGTAGAGTAGGGTAGGAAGAGTAGGGTAGGTAGAATGGGATAGGTATAGTAGGGTAGGTAAAGTAGGGTAGGTAGGGTAAGTAGAGTATGGTAAGTAGAGTAGGGTAGGTAGGGTAGGGTAGGTAGAGTAGGGTAGGTAGTCAAATGACGGGAGCGACGCCGCGGGTAAGAGCTAGTAGGGTATAAAATCCTGCATTTTAATGGTAAAAGATATTTCGATAAAGTTCTAGAGAATCTCTTATATCTTTTCTTTCCGATATTGGAGAAGAATATGTCATCCTGCACATTGCTATGATTAATTCATAGGCATTTAATAAAAATACATCATAGTAAACTATTGCTTCTTTAGTTTTAAGTGTGGGAGAGCCACGGCACGAATGGGTCGGCCCGACCGGAGCAATACGACGATCTCACAGAATACCGGCGTGAAACAACCACAGCATTGTGTTTCGCCGTGTGAGTGAGGTTACCGGAAGCCCAGTCCTTCCCCTCCCCCAATCCTTAAATCTCCAAATCCCTAAATCTCCAAATCCCTAATCCCTAACCCTAAATCTCCAAATCCCTAAAAGGTCGGCAACGCACTCGTAACTCCTCCCTTGCGGAGCGGTGCTTGATGGGCGGCGCTGATTGCTTACCATCAGGTAATCCCTCTGCTCGTTTGCAGACTTATTACATAAAAAAGTGACATTGGCTAAATACATATATAGTACACCTATTATATTTATTAATAATGATATTTGTCATATCTTACTAACCTTACTATCCTATTAATATTATAAATGTTAAAGATTGTAAGAATGTATAGATGTTGGTATGTTTGTTGTGGCATCCTTGATCAAAACAGAGGCCTTTTATCAACATACCAAGCGGGAGAAACCGCTGGTGGAAGCTGGTATTAATGTACATATATGTATGTATGATAGAGATCCGTGTGAAGAATTTTTGTTTAAGACTTTCCTGGCCTTTAGTTTTGATGGGTGGGAAATCACCAAATGACCTCTTACCTTGCGTCGGGCGAGAGGGAGGGTCAGACTCTTATTGAGTCTTAATTATCCCGTTTCTTCTCCTGCTCTCAGCCGAGGCGCGGTAGATTGTTGTGTTAGCTTCCTGAACCCTATTCCGCAACCCTTTTTTTTGGGAGGAGAAAATCAAAAAATGACTTCTCCTGCCCAAGGCCGGGCGGGAGGGAGTGTGAGACTCTTACTGACTGAAAACCCCCCTGTTCCTTCTCCTGCTCTGGGCCGAGGTCGCGTAATGTAATGTTTTGGCCTATTTTCTATGTGACCGCAGTTTCACTCCGATCGAGCCGGCTCATTTGTGCCAAAGCTTGGCTCTCCTACATAATTTTTTGGGGCATAGATGCAAATGAGCTGATGAATCTCCTGATGGTAAATGCGACCATGGAGACCAGCATCATCAGGGGAGTCAGTCCCCTCTGTTATTTAGTTATTTAATTTTGTATGTTCCTTTCCATTCACCTTTGATTGAGCTGTTTGGGGAAAGAGAGATATCCCGCGGCTATCAGGTACTAAAACAGCATCTCACCAGCATCTTACTGAGATACATCCTTCCCCCGAGTCTCCTTCAACTCCCACTCTTGCGAATCTCCACTCAAGCCAGCCAATAAAGGCAAAAATGAGGTAGGAGGGTTTGTTCCTCATCAGTGTTCAGTACAGGTAGTCACGACGGCTTCCTGGATATGAAGAACAAGACACATCCCGGGAGTCAGGTCCGTAGGATTGCCACTGTCCAACAGCTTGCCACAAGATGCCTTGCGGATTAATTTATTTTATTTTTATTCCAGAGAAGAAAGTGACAAAAATAAACTTTTGACTGCACGGTTGGTGCGGTGGCTGGGCAACTGGCTGCCGTGCAACGTGTCGCGGGTTCGATTCCCGCACGGAACAACTCTTTGTGTGATTCACAAATTGTTGTTCCGGGTCTAGGTGTCATGTGCATATGAAATAGTATGTTTGTAACCGCACCCATGATACAGGAGAAAATCCTAAAGCGGGGCATCGTTTTTATAATAAAAGATCCACAATCTCTAATTGTCCGAAACTCTAAGCTCCAAAAAGGTTGGCGACGCACTCGTAACTCCTGTGCCGCAGCGGATGTACATGAGCGGCGCTGATTGCTTACAACCAGGAGCCCGAGTCTACTATTTTCAAAGTGTTGTCATTCCTACACGATTCCATTGTCATTTTGCTAAAAGTTCGTAATCTGTTAATTCAAAATGGCTGATCATTGGCGTTCGGCGATGTCGTAATAGAATTATTGTACGAGATGTCTTGTAACGAATTCCAAACAATAACTGCACATTAATATTCTAAACGTAAATCATTGAATAGAGGAACTGACATTTTTTATTAATTTTTCGCATTATGTCAAATATTCATTTGTCGTTATGTACGAGATTACCGTTTTAAAGAATTATTTCAATGAAGTGGCATTGGTTGATCATTGGAAACTGGAAAGTCATAATGACGCTATCGTGTTAGTAGATTACCAAACTTGTCAAAATCAACAATTTTGAAACCAATGATCTACTATTCTGACACTATTGTAATAGCAGACTCGAGGCCCAGGTAATCCGTATGCGGTTTTGCCTACTACATAAAACAAAGTCTAGCTGTTGTCCCTAACTAGTTATATTATTAATAGGTACCCTAGGTACCTACGTACGTATACACTACTTCAAAAGTAACACAAAACAAAATTCGTTCATTGTCTTTGCTTACATAAACTTTTTACATTTGTTGTGCCTCGGATAAAGTACTGTGGTATTGTTAGCCAACGATTTGTTTAGTTTAGTTGTAACTTATAGCCAACCTGTATAGAAAACATATGTATGTAGTTATTTGAATGCGGTTCCGTATGTGTTTTTAATTAAACATCTTAATTTTGAATGGAGTGTGGTAAAATGATGAAACGTTTTTTTAAGATTTCAATAAATATTAATTTGACCGCACGGTTGGTGCGGTGGCTGGGCTGGCAGGCTGCCGTGCAACGTGTCGCGGGTTCACAAAATTCAAATAAAGACACAATTTCCTGCACTAACTACAATTATTAAATTAATGAAAAATCTCCAATACAATAATGACACACGATCACCAATGCAAATAACCGCGTCGACATGACGGGGACTCCCAGTCGGAGTCTTATCAAAAACGCTTGAGGAACTCCAAAAGACAGTACTTTACCGATGGCCGTTATAAATAAGAGCTACGACCCGCACTTAGTTCAATGTTGTTCAACACTTCAGAGCAAAATGTTATATATTTTTATTGTATTCTTATCAACAGTAGTCTTTTCGAAGTGTGAGATTGAAAATGTAACTGTAGTGACAACTAAAGGCCCTATAATAGGCATAAAACATGACGGATATAACACTTTCTTTGGTATACCGTACGCAAAAGTTAATGAGATCAATCCTTTTGGAGTAAGTACTACTTTAATTATAATATTTTGTGTTTTTACCCAATCGCGGTGGCCCGGAAGTTAACCCGCTCGTTTCTCGTGCACGGTTTCAAAAGCTAACAACAAAGTATAAACAACTCGGAAAAAGTCACATTGGTGCTTGCACCAATGTGACTTTTTCCGAGTTGTTTGTACTTTGTAACATTATTTAGGCACCACCGACATAATAATATGACGAAGGAAAACATTGTGACAATATCTAGACTTTTATAATTATCTAGAATAAGCTCAAACCCTGCTAATTATTATTTAGAATTCTCAATTTATTTTGATTTCTGATTACAGCAAAGATGGTCAGAAAAAAATAACTCTGATTCCATGATTAGTTTTATCAAAGGGAAAATGATATATAATTGTTCTTCTTGACAGATTATTAAAAAAAAAACTATCATCACTAATTGATCATATGATAATTTTTCTCCTTATATTTAATTTTCAGAGCTACCTAGTTCAACCAAACTTCCAAAAACCATTCTTCGCCAATGACTCTTCAATATATTGTCCTCAAGTGACAACGCGATTCGGCGGCGACTTGCAATGTCTTCGACTCAACTTGTATGTGCCACATACAGCCAATGTGAATAGCACTGTGCCAGTATTGGTCTGGTTTTACGGTGGAGGTTTCGTCTTCGGCAGCGCCCAAGACTATGGCGGCGAACATTTGGTCAAACATGACATAATCGTGGTGACAGTCAATTACAGGCTTGGTCCTTACGGATTTATGTGTTTAAATGACCCTTCTGTCCCAGGAAACCAAGGTCTAAAGGATCAGATTGGAGCTCTAAGGTGGGTGAGCAAGAATATAGAGGCTTTTGGAGGAGACCCTACCAAGGTCACCATAGCCGGCGAGAGTTATGGAGGTGGTGCAGTAGAATTACATCTCTACTCTAAGTACGAAACGTTATTTCACAAAGTGATCATCCAAAGCGGTTCCATATATACTCCAGGGTTCTATGGAAACCGAGATCACGATACTGCTATAAAATTAGCCCATCAATTAGGATATAAAGCAGCGAACACTAGAGAAGCTTTGCAAATATTGAGTAAAGAAAGTTCTGTATTGGTGATGAATGCAGCGAAAAACTTAGGCTTGAAAATGTCAGCGTGCAAAGAAGTCCGATTCAAAGGGATCCAGCAGTTCGTTACCAAATGCATAAACCATTTGATTAATCCTGATCGAATTGAGAACATACCAATCATGATCGGTTACAACAGCAAAGAAGACTTTGCGACTTACGCGAACAAACAGCAAGAGTTCTTCGACAACTTAGGGGATATTTTCTATAAGAATTTGCAGAACCATTTCGTTTTGAAAACTTGTGAGTTGGAAACGTTAAGTAATATTACGAGGAACTTTTATCTTGGAAGCAAGAAAATTGGTTTGGAGTCGGTACTAGAACTTAGTGACTATTCTTCTGACTTCAAGTTGAACTATGCTGTAGAGAAATCTGTGACCAAGTTATTGGAGCAGGGTGGGAAAGTTTACAAGTATATGTTCTCTTACATAGGAGGTAGTATTTATCAGAACATTACTGGCGTTGGGGCAGTCCACACAGAAGAATTGAAGTATTTATTTGAAACTGGTGCCAAATTGACTTCTGATGAACAGAGGATGATGAGGGATCGCATGACGGCAATGTGGGCTAACTTCGTGAAGCTTGGGTAAGTGTTTCTTGATCTTTTTTTATGTTGTGGACGGCAAACAAGCATGTGGGTTACCTGATGGTAAGCAATCAGCAGTGCCTATGAACTCTTTTCGATTTTGATATGGGAACATTTCTTCTGGGTAGTGGGTGGGTAAAAACATACAACATAACAAATAGACCCGGAACAACAATCTGTGTAATGTCTTATAAAGTAACCCCGTCAAGTTGTATGTCAAAAGTATAGTCATATAATTCTTCTGTTTCCAGAAACCCGACTCCGCAGAAGACGGACCTCCTCCCAGTTACCTGGGAGCCTGTGACTGGCAATGCCAGGCAATACTTGGACATTGACGTCACTATGTCTATGAAAGACTACGCCTACAGACAAAGAATCGCGTTCTGGGATCTCTTTATGCAGAAATACGATAAAAAGAGCTAATAAAAGAAGAAAAGCCCTTAAAGCTTTGTAATTTTAATAGTATTATTTTCTAGTAATATGTGTAGTAAACTTCTTCTGAATTAAATTAAAAGAGACTCCTAGTATTTTGTGTGTTTAAATTTATTTATCTGTGATTTGACCTTGATCTTGACTGTGCACCATTTGAAAAACCCTATTAAAATAATTAATAGGAAATAAATAGAAAGCGCGCGTTAATATGGTTTTGGACTCGTGTTGCTCCGAACTCGCTTAGTCGAAGTTTATTCCTAGCAGTAGGTAGATAGGTTGATAAATATAAATTCAAGTGAAGATCAAGATACAGATAAGTATGGGTGAGCCAAACTTCGGCAGGAATGGGTCGGCTTGACCGGAGTGATACCACGGCCTCACAGAAAACCGGCGTGAAACAGCACAGCGTTGTGTTTCGCCGTGTGATTGAAGTTATAGGAGGCCCAATCTTTTCCCTCTTCCAATCTCTCCCCAATCCCTAAATTATAGACCAAAAGGTCGGCAACGCACTCGTTACTCCTCTGTTGCGAGTGTCCATGGGCGGCGCTGATTGCTTACTATCAGGTAATCGGTAATCCGTCTGCTCGTTTACTGATCTATTACATAAAAAAAAAACAGAACATGACAAAAGAAAGCCTAAAGATTTGTAAAGACCAATTCTACTTTGATTTGGTCTGGCGTCAAATTGACTTTGATGTTAATTTTGATCTTGACCTTGACTTTAAACTTGACCAAATCAAATCAAATTTTTATTTCAAGTAGACCACAACAGGCACTTCTGCAACGAACATCAAGCAAAAAAATATCATAAGGTTTAACTTTATCGTGTCAGTCTGTCCGTCTGTCCTCTAGTGAAGCTATTTGCTCGTTCCAAAGTGTAGATTCCTATGGAGAAGAACGAGCAAGAAACTCCATGGTTACTCTTTTTCAATCAGTTTTCACAATGCATTGTTACATAATTTATATAGTTCTATTACGTGAGAACAGTGTAACACCAATGTTAAACCAAAGGATGCGCAAAGAAATGAACCTCAAGGGCAGCAACTTTAGATTCATTATCATCATATCAGCCACAGGACGTCCACTGCTGAACTAAGGCCTCCCCCATTGACTTCCAGATAAGCCGGTTAGAAGCGACCAGCATTCAGCGGCTTCCTGCGACCTTAATCAGCACGTCGATTCTATAAAATTTGTTTGATTTTGAATCGTGTTCGAGTGCGAAGTGAGCGTCGAAATGACGGGGAAATTAAATTTTAGAATGCCACTTTTAACGTCATTTCATACTTTATCTTTCAAAATGTTGCTGTCAATTTAGTTCAACTCGCAAGTGTAGCGCTAGTGTACTACTACTCACGGCGGATTCAGATTCGAAGTTTAGAATGAAGTCTTACAGAATCACACCCCAGGTCGTCTGTCCACCTTGCGGGTGGACGTCCCACGCTGCGCTTGCCGGTACGTGGCCTCCACTCGAGAACCTTTCTGCCCCAGCGGCCGTCGGTTCTACGCGCTATGTGCCCTGCCCATTGCCACTTCAACTGACTAATGCGTTGGGCTATGTCGGAAACCTTTGTTCGTTTGCGGACATCCTCGTTTTTTATTCGGTCTTGCAAAGAAATTCCGAGCATAGCCGTTTCCATAGCGCGCTGAGCGACCTTGAGCTTCTTTAGATTGACTTTACTTAAATTTGACGTAATTTTGACTTGATTTTGACTTACCTCATCAGCATTCCAAGCGCCGTAAGTAGGTGGGTTGATGAGCATGAAGACGAGGGATGACAGAAGGATGCAGGTAACGATGAATGGTCCAACGTATCGCCAGGTGATCTGCCAGTAGATGCCTGGCCGGTAGCCCGTCATCTCGTAAATGTCGTTTGTGAACCTGTAATGGAAATAGAAAAAAAAGAAAATAGGATACACGAAGAAATACCTAATTGTTTTGATGTGACAGGAATATTCCAGAACGTTAAGTAACTTTTTCTCGTCGATTCGTCCTTACCACTCGTTTAGTGCTAGAAAATGATTAATATCTACCTATACTAATATTATAAAGAGGTAAAGTTTGGAAATTGGTATGTAGGGGGTAACGTTTGGAACCGCTGGTCGGATTGCCAAAATTCTTACACTGATAAATAGCTACAATGTTCCTGAGTGCTATAGGTTATAAAACATCACGCTACGATCTAATGAAGCCGAGCGGGTGAAACCGCGTGAGAGTAGCTAGTCATTCATGAGTTTAGACTTTTCCTACTGTAGCCCTGAACACAATCTGAAGTTGTAAAAATGCGCTGGTAACTATAAATTTGAAAAACTAAGATAAAATAGGTAGAATAGACAGATGAACTAGAAGAAATCCTTACCGTATTGGCAAAAATTAAATGTAAGTAGGTACTTTATTTTAGCCCAGTTTGGCCCGTTTTCCGACTATGCTTCATTTGTTTTTATAGTAACTATCGTGAGACATACTAATGCCCGGTTCCTATATTTAACGAATCGTCGTTAATTAACTAAAAATCGCGGGTTACTCACGTGTGTAAATTAATTCCATCCATTGAGATCCAGTAGGCCGCGCACGCTGCTCATGAGGAAGAACCCCTCTGTGGTTCGAAACTAGTAGAGCTTTTCTCGAATTACACACGTGAGTAACCCGAGATTTTTAGTTAATTTATGCTTCATTTACTGTTTACATCCAATTCAATAGTCTATGAAATTCTATCTAATTTTTTCTAAAAGTCTTTACCTGACATGTCCATAAATGTAGATGACAGAGACCATCTCAAGTAGAGCGACGACGACTAGGCCGATGGTACCAGCGAAGGAGTCAAACATCTTGAGCCAATACTCCCCAGCGCCGGTCGTGAAGATCAGACCCACGAAGAAACAGAAAGTGCACACGATACCTGAGAAAGATTTTGTTAATGTAGTAAGTATAGAAATGTATCTATAAGTAAAATGGTATAGATAGGTTACATAAACAAAATTCGATTTTCAAAAACGACACACTTATGCACACATGAATAAATCGTATGATACACGTTAAAGTGGGATGGCATGATTCAATAATCGCGAGTGATAAAGAGACAAATTTGAAAAGTGTGGCTAGATAGCCACATTTTAATGTATCACTTACTAAGCGATTGTAACCTATCTACACCTTTTTACTTATAATATCACTGCATCTGATACTTTTTTAAATAAAAACACCATTTAGAACCACGTTATGTTATACTATCCACCCATAAAACTAATGTTAGTGTAAAATCAGGAAGTGATTAAAAAAATGGCAAATATTTGATACCTTCTTAAAGAAGAAGGTATCAAATCACTCACAGAAAGAACTTTCTTTTCCATTCTCATTATCCGGGCTTCAAGTTAAGAATGAAAATTCGTTACAATGCGTAGTTATAGGTCTCACAAAAAACCGGCGTGAAACAATCACAGCGTTGTGTTTCGCCATGTGAGTGAGGTTACTGGAGACCCAATCCTTCCTTTTCCCCGATCCCTCCTCAATTCCTAAATCTCCGAAACCCTAATCTTTAGAGGTCCGGCACCGCATTCGTAATTCCTCTTACGTTACGGTTGTCGATGGGTCAATTGCTTACCATCAGATAATTCGTTAGCTTGTTTGTGTACAAAAAAGGTCTTAAGACAATTAGTCAAGAAACACCATTTTCTGGTGAATAAAATATTATGGAAGTGTGAAACCTTTCAACGTATTTTTACTCCTTTGGTATAACGACTCCAGGAACAGAGCTGTTTTTTTTTCACTCTTTTTACAGTCTATAAGTGACCACCGTTTTCACACGGAGAAGGTTTGAGCATTAATCGCCACGCTTGTTCAAGACGAATTGGCGATTTCAACCTTATAATTAGAGATTATAAGTCCAGGTTTCCTCACGATGTTTTCCTCCACCGTGTGTGTCTAAATAAGCTGATTCTTTACCAACATGTAATCCTTTCTCGGATTCCTCTTTGCCGGCATGTACTTACCAGTTATGACAGGTTTGCTGAGTCGTTTGAAGAAGTCAATATCGAAGATGGTGCAGAGCATTCCTTCCATGATGCCGATCTGACTGCCAAGTCCCAAGGAGAGGAGCATCATGAAGAAAATGATGGACCAGAATGGAGCTGGAGTGAGCTTGAGGATCGCTTGCGTGAACACGATGAAGGCCAAGCCTGTGCCTTCAGCAGCCTGGAGAGATGAAGAGTATACTTGTGAAGGTGTACCGTTTACTGATGGAGAAGTAGAGAATAGTTGCCTCACTCCAGTGGGAGTTGTAAAAGTCGACTAAGAGACTATACATATATTTGATTAAGACCGGACAGCAGCGTTCTATGATAATGCTAATCCTTTTAAACTGCGATCTCCAACCCATTCCATGTCCACCCATGAAATAGCGGATTGGAGACTGTGGCCTTTTATATGTGTTTCGCCGTGTGCGTGAGTTTGCCGGAGGCCCAACTTCGTCCCACTGCCAGAGGGAGGTCATCCTTAAGACTCTAATTTCCATATCCTTAAATCCCTAATAACCCACAAGAGGACAACAACGCATTGTATTAACTCCTTTGGTACTACGAGTGTCAATGGGCGGCGCTGATTGCTTACCATCAGGTATACCGTGGGCTCGTTTGTCGTTTGGGCGAATTATGCAAATGCATACAAAAATTAATCACTTTTGTATTAAGAAACCCATAGTCCAGCAGTGGGAGAGCAGTAGAGCACTCTTCGGATGACGATGATGTACAGTCAGGGGTCAAAAATGCAATAACACTCTACCAATTTTAAAATGACCAAAATATCTTTGTAGAATAGAGTCAATGGTCGAGGACTGCTTTAATTTATAGCATAGAATCTAAATTATTGAAAAAACTGGCTGTGAACCATTGAACTTTTACTATAAAAAATTTTAGTCATTTTAAAATTGGTAGGTATATGAAAAGATAAGTTTATTTTTATTAAAATAATTCTCGATTTTTTATTATTAATTTGAATAATTAGGTTTATTGACTGTTAAAGTTTTAAACTACGAAAGATTCAGGGACAAAATAAAAAAGTTTTTAATCGTCCTTACCTCTTCCAACTGCCTGCTCATGGTGCATCCAGTGAGGTTGTACCTGGCTACCAGACTCTCGTTCAGGTTGCCAAACTCCTCCCGGTAGTAGTCGTGGGAGGAGGTCGGAGTGAACCCTGATACGTTCAGAGCTGCCAGGATCTTGATCTCCCTGGAAAATATCGTCATCATTAGAGACTGGGTCGGCTATATTAGCGTTCTAGCTACTCTCACACGGTTTAACCCGCTGCTCGGCTCCATTTAATCGTAGCGTGATGTTTCATAGCCTATATATAGATGTTTTATAGATTCAGGAACATTGTAGCTATTTATCAGTGAAAGAATTATGGCAATCCGACCAGCGGTTTCAAAGATTACCCCCTACATACAAACTTACAAATTTTACCTCTTTATAATATTAGTATAGATGAAAATGTTTATCAAAGTGAAAATAGCGAATAACGAATGAATTGACTGAGAAAATGGGGAGTTCGTGCAGCAACGAGACAAGAAGTAGTTTCTCAAGAAGAAGTCTCGTTGTGACTTGAAAATAGACGAGCTTTTCCTAACTAATTCACATAAGTAAGTCGTTATTCATATACATATGTATATTTATTTTTATTTATTTATTTATTTTATTTAAATAGAACGACAGAAGCCAATTACACTATTTAAACATTTGTAAAACACATTAACCTATTAGAACACATAAGAGAAACATATAACAAATAATATAATAAATCCATTAAACATGCACTTTACTCAATTCAGTCACGCATTCCCCTCACAAAACTTCAAACACTCTGACAGTATCGTCTTCCAGTCATCCACAAACACATCGAGCTCAGTGTTTGAGTTCAGGAGAGCGTTAATAGCCGCTAATGACCGAGGAATAGGTGACTTGGAGTGAGCAATAGTTCGGCTGGTCGGAACCGCCAACAGCCGATGCCTTCTGCCACGACTGTAATTGTCTGGGACAAACACGTTGCATATCTCGTTATGCAGTTTGGGATCATCAATAAGCCCTCTAAGTATTTTAAATACTACAGTCATCTGATCGCGCGAACGTCGTACTTCAAGGGAGTTGAAATTTAAGCATCCCAGCAGAAAATTGGTTGGATACAAATAGGGGTAAAACCCGTACTCGTGCTTGTAAAGGTACCTAAGGAATGCTTTCTGTACTTTCTCCAAAATTAACACATAATGCTTCTCAAAAGGATTCCATACACAGGCACTAGACTCAAGTTTGCTACGAACCAATGCCCCAAATACAAGCTTGATAACGTGGGAGTTATGGAAGTCGCGACAGTTCCTCAAGACAAACCCAAGACGTCTGAACGACTCCTTAGCAGTAGATTTGATATGGTCATGGAAAGTGAGTTTTGGGTCAAATATGACTCCCAGGTCTTTTATGGAATCAGTTCGTGTGATTGTATCTCCATTCAGTTTGTATAGAAAGTTAACTGGGTGCCGCATTCGACCAAAAGACATCACGTAACATTTTGATTTATTGAAGTCCATTTTATTTTCTGTACTCCACTTATACACTGAATCAATGTCTGATTGCAAAGCTTGGCAATCGAGCTCAGATTTAATTTCATAAAAAAGCTTTAAGTCATCAGCATATAAAAGGGATCTTGCATTCATAATCACATCGGGGAGGTCATTAATCATTAAAATGAAAAGTAGAGGACCAACCACTGAACCTTGGCTTACGCCCGAGCGAGTGTGATAAGGAAGTGACTCGTATACGCCCAATCTGACAAATTGCTGTCGGTCCCGCAAATAGTCCGCAAGAAGCCGTAGAAGCCCTGGAGCAATTCCTATCGCACTGAGCTTTGATAGCAATACGTCATTGTTTACTCTGTCGAATGCTTTCTGGAAATCAAAGTAAAGAACGTCAACCTGGCGCCTGCCATCAAGACCAGCGGAGATGAAATTAACTAATGAAAGCAGGTTAGTACTGACGGATCTCTTTTCGCGGAAACCATGCTGTTCATTGCACAGATACTGTGCCACTTGTTTGTAAATGCCTCGATGTAAGACATTCTCAAACACTTTCGCAGGAGAGGACAGTATCGCAACTGGACGATATTCGTCGACTGACGATTTATTTGAAGACTTTGGTATGGGAGTCACGCGTGATATTTTCCATTGTGGAGGATAGACTCCGGATATTAAAGCCCGGTTAAAAATGTGATTTAGGGGCCGTATGAGAAATTCCTCTCCCTCTTTGAGGAACCAAGGAGGAATCCCATCCGGACCAACAGAACTGTTGGGTTTTAGCTTTTTTATTCCAGTACTTATATCGCTCTCAGCAAAGCTCAAAATGTTAATATAATTACTCATATTACTGTTTCGAGGATTGGCTATATCCTCGGTGTTTAGGGTTGGTACTTCCGTATGAAAGACGCTTGCGAAATATTCTGCGAAAGCCTCGGCAGCCGCTATGCCCCTATGCATTATGCCTTTGTGGGTAATATTACATTCGAACCCACCTTTCGATCTAAGGTTAGTGATATGCTGCCAGAATTCTTTGGGATTTTTCTTAATGTTCCTTTCAATGCGCCTAATATAGGTATTGTAAGCAGCCGATATACGCGACTTTAAGCTAGACCTGCATTCAGAAAATTGTCTATATATTAGATCACATTTACTCCTTTTCCAGGCAGAATGTAATTTTATTTTGTACTGAAGATCCCGAATAATGTCCGACGTAAACCAGGTGGGGTACCTTCGAGTTGCCCTTACATTCCGGCGTTTTTTAGGGATACAGGCGTCAAACAACCTATAAATGGTATCATAGAAAACCCGAGTGCTAGTGCGCACGTCGCTTAGTGATAAGACTGCATCCCATGATACCTCAGAGAGCAGTTCAAAAAGCAAACTCCGATTACATTTATTGAAGTTCCAGTCCCTACCACGGTCGACATTACTGGGTTCAAGCCTTTCACTTTTAACAGATGACTGTAGCTTTACCTGAATATCCAACGGTGGATGATACGCATCAGGTGGCACCAAGCCTTCGACTGTTGTTACCAAAACGTCATGCAGGCTTGCACTCTCCTGAACTAAAACAACATCCAACATTCCGCCGTGCACGTTCTCAACAACGTTTTTATCACATATATTAGAGAATGTAAGAAAATAACAATAATAATTACGGACATTTAAAGAAGCACTGTTTAAGTTTAAATCGCCTAAAATGATTACCGTTCCTTTTAAGTCGTTTATGAAACTTTCCACTTTGGTAAACCACGTCATGTAATCACTGTCTGTAGCACTTGGTTTTATGTACACAACGCACACATAAACTGAGGATCTACTACTACGGCACGTGAAACTCGCCCAAAGATCTTCACCACATTCTGTCTCAAGTTCACGTCGACGACGAAGGACTATGGGGGCGCGTGCCATAAGTAACACTCCTCCACAAGGTGTACCTCTGTCTCGCCTCAGTACGCTCCACTCGCCATTAATGAGTTCCGTATCTTCGACAGAGTTATCCAAAAATGTCTCTGTTGCAACTATTAAATCTTGTTCAGATATGTGCAGATTGTTGCGCCACAACTGAAGTTTTGATTTAATTCCACGAACATTCTGGTATAAATAATTTATGGTTGTGGTTCTGGTGCTGCTGAGAAAAGGTGCAGCAGGGCCAGTCAAAGTACCAACACTATGCTGCCTTGTCACTCTGATTAAGTTGTCCATGAAAGGGCTGTGAGACAGCAGCTACCCTCTGGCTGTTTGACTGTACGGAAGATGGTTTTCTATAGTTAATCCATACCTTAATTCTTGCGTTCACTGGCCACACGTCTGCGGAATAACAGCGATCAAAGTGAGCAGCGGGAACGCCAACTTTAAAAGACTTGTAGTTTCCTTTCGGAGTAAGTTCATCAATCGTACAAGAGTCGCCATCACATAAAGTAAGGAGGTAGTCTCTAATTTCATCGGCTGTGGACTCCATGTTCCATACGTGCAGGTACCTACGCGCTTCCACTGCCCTTAGCGATGTCACGTTAGGGCCAGCGGCTCCTTGAATTGATACTGGGCGGCGATTTTTAGGTTTCTTTGATACTTGGACCCATTCCTGGATGTTCGATGTTTGAGAAATAGAAGAGGTAGTCTGCGATACCATTTCAATCGGCGTAATATGGACGGTGTTAGAACTACTTAAGCTGGCACAAGGAGGGGCTGGCGCATCGAGAGGCTCAGACGTGACGACCTGCTCAGCAAAGCTTGCAGGCGCCAGTGGCGCAGTGTCAGAACGCTTTTCCAGACTATGTAGTCTATTGCTCAGTTCCATGATGGTGTGCTGCATATTAGAATTTTGAGTCTTCAAATTCTCTAAAGCTAATTTGACCTTCATGTGCTCAGTGACGACACTCCCCATCTGAATTTTTACGGCATTCACGGTGTCGATTGCGCACTGTAATTCCAGTTTCACGGTACGAAGTTCTTCATTCATTAATATGGCTATACTGTCATTAATTTTTAACACCATACCACTCAACTGGTCCTGCAGTACCTCCTGTACAACATTACGGATGTCATCAGTTGTTAACAGGTTAATGGGATTTGGAGGGGAGTTCAAAGCCTGTCTTTTAGCGCCTCTCACGGTAACATTGGTATTGAAGCGAATAGGGGTATTATCATCCCTAGGTACTTTAGGGGCTTTGCTTGAGCAGGACGGGCAACTCCATGCTTGGGAGGGAATGAGCTCCTTATCATTGTTAGCTAAACAGGCCAGGTGAAATGATTTTCCACAGATCGCGCAGTTACGATAATTTCCATCATCCATATCATCATTACAACAACCCCAAAGGATTATTTTATGAGCCGATGAAGACATTACCAATCTTGTTATGCTAAACACTAGCGAAGAAAGCAAACTGTGTGCATCAACTGTACGCTCAGTGACACCGTGCGACACAGAACTCGGTCCCTTCCAACTAGGAGACACAGAGCATCACCGTGCACAGTGGGCGGAGCGACTGCGCTACGCGATCGCGTCCGACACAGAGCGACACAGAAGGCGACTCTTTCCAACTGGTTGACACTGTGCTTTTCTTTGAGTTCGTTATTAGAAAATTACGATACAAAAATGTTTATAACTCGAGAACCGTTTATTATTTCTAAGTTACGTTTTCACTGATGCAGAGAACACTTGTCGCGGAACGCCACAATATATTCTACTAAAACGTTTCTTTCGATTTTGCACTATTCTCGAATTTAAAACACGGAGGTCGTTTCGACACACGACACTTTAGAGTATAGTTTTATCTTCAACTAATTAAAGTATCTTATTAAACATTGTAAACTTATTATTTAATTGTATTAATTAAGGTGAATGATATCTCTGCTTATTGCCATTTTTCCGCTAGATGGCGTTGAAGTCAAGATTTTTGGTTTTATACAATACGGTAGTTTCCAACTAGTCAAATTCAATACTTTTATCCAAACGTCAAAAACGATACTTTTCTATGAAATTTGTATGAAAAACTGAGCTACGACGTCATAACATTTTTGCGTCAAATAGCTTACTTATTTCACAATAATCAGCTAAAAAAAAATCTAAAACTTGGTCTATCAATCGATCGATGAATAAAAGTATAGTTATTTTTCAATATTTTATAGTATTGAAACATCGAATTAATTTATTTTTGACCTAGGAAACTACCCAATTGATATCAATTTACTATATTCCCATCTCATATATTCCGCAAACATAAAACAAGTACACACGGAAATTAATAAAACAAAAATAACAATAAAAACTAATCCGAAACTGACTAATTCGAGAAAATGGTTCTCACAAAGAAAAATCGACTTTCAACCTTTCAAACAAAGTCGATATTCACCCTACAACCTTGAACTACTATATTTAGTTCAGGGCAAGGTCGTGCATGCAATTTGAAATAGTGGCAACACATCAATCAGAGTTAATAGCCTCTTATAGACTATAGGCTATTAAATATAGTGCAATCTTAACTATAGCACACTCTGGAAGGCTATGGAGTGATAAATTGAATAATAGCCTTATTTATTAAGCAAAATCTTTTGGATTATGTCCAATCGTTCCATAATAATGAAAGTGTGAATGAAAGCTGATACGCTACCAAAATTTAAAAAGGCTGTGATGGGATTGTTTGGTGACCAAACTTAGTGCTTAATTTGTCTCGATTGTTTTCTTGTTATTTTTAGTTTTTATTTTTATTGTTCCGCATTATTGTAGTAATTATTTCCCCTTTTTTAAAATGTTTCTACATAAAGTTTGTAATAATTGGGTGGTTTCCTAGGTCAAAAATAAATTATTTAGACGGTTCAATACAAATAAATATTGAAAAATAACTATACTTTTATTCATCAATCGATGGATACTCTAAGTTAGAGTTTTTTTAGCATATTATTAAAAATTAAGTTAACTACTTGACGCAAAAATGTTATGACGTCGTAGCTCAGTTTTTCATACAAATTTCATAGAAAAGTATCGTTTTTGACGTTTGGATAAAAGTATTGAATTTGACTTGAAAATCTAAAAGTTAGTGTATCAATCGATCGATGAATAAAAGGACTTAAAGTTATTTTTCAATATTTTATTGTATTGAAACGTCAAATTAATTTATTTTTAAACTAGGAAACTACCCAATTCTTCCCCTTATCTCTTAAACTCTTATCCCAAGAAAAACACTCATAACTCTTCTGTTTGTCCATGGGCTGCATCGGTTGCTTACCGTCAGGTAAACCACATGTTGGTCGTCCTATCATAACATTAAAAAAAAACTTTAGTACTAGCATCATTCAAGAGTATCATAAGATTAACTGTGTCATTTAAAATTAGTAAAAAATGTTATTCCAGCTGTCTCAATTATTTGTAAGTTCTGCGACTGCCTTCATAAAAACCCTGATGTTATATGATACAGTGCAATCAAAACAATAAATAAAACAGCGGGAGCCAATTAATTGTGAATGGTGATTGACGGAGGGAACATAAAAGCAGTGGTTTGTTGACGAGAGGATTTTTCCTACAATGTCTATTGTTAATATAATATACACATACTTGAAAGATGTTGGAACTTGTAGTATTTATCTACATATACCTATACTAATATTATAAATGTTAAAGTAAAATGCAAAATCTACGTAACGGATATTGATGCATTTCGAATATTGTACTAGCGGTCTAGCTTCGCACGGGTTTTGTCCGCGACTCCGTTGGTGTGGAATAGTGACGTCCTGTAGATTTTTGGCGTAAAAACTATCCTATGTCCTTTATCGAGTTCCAATCTATGTCTGTACCAAATTTCACACAAATAGGTTCAGTAGTTTAGGCGTAAAGAAAAGACAGACAGACAGAGTTACTTTTGCATTTATAATTAGTATATTAATAGCATAGATATAGATTTTATAATATTAGTATAGATAATATAGATATGTAGTACAAACATTAACAAAAACTCACTTGGTCATGCAAGTCTCCACCATGGTGAACGCCTTGAATCCAAGGATGCTGAAGATCACGACTGAAGCGTAGATGGCTGTGAGGGCGTTGCACACGGAGACCAGGAGAACATCCCTCACACAGTTGTTGTTCGGAGGATTGTAGGACCCAAAGGCGATGAGGGAACCGAAGGCAAGACCGAAGGAATAGAACACTTGTGTGGCAGCATCCAACCAGACTGTTGGGTCTAGCAGCTTTTCCAGCTGTAAAAGAAGGTTCATGAAATTAATGTGGGATAGCCAAGCTTCGGCACGAATGGGTCGGCTCGACCAGAGTGATACCAGGGACTTACAGAAAACCGGCGTGAAACAACCACAGCGTTGTTTTTCAACGTGTGAGTGAGGTTACTGGAGGCCTAAACCTTCCCCAATCCATAAATAACCAAAACCCTTATCCCTAAAATACCAGCAACGCACTCGTAACTCCTTTGGTGTTGCGGTTGTCCATGGGCGGCGCTGATTGCTTACCATCAGGTTATCCGTTTGCACGTTTGTCGACCTATACAAAAAAAAGATACGATCATCATCATCATTAACATCGTCACCAGCCATAAGGTGCCCACTGCTGAGCAAAGGCCTCTTCTCACACGGACACTGAGCATTAAACATCATGCTTGCTCAAAGCGGATTGGCGATTTCAAGTATGGTAGATAGTTTTAAACATGGTGCTCACATAAAAGGGTTTCTGGAGTATGCGCAATAATACACCGAGGTCTGGGCTATTTCTCTTCTTGTCGGAAGAAGGAATACGTTGATTTTAGTATGTAAGAGTCTGACACCCCTTATCCGGGACGGAGACTCGAGACCAATGGTTGATTTTCAGCCCTCAAAAGTGAATGTGTGTGTGGTATTTTGAAAATTTAGTAGTGTGTTCTTATTTTTAATGCTTGGGCCACACTAACGGGAAGTATCAATAATTATCGCGATAATTGATGATATTAAACAATGAAAAATATATCGTAAGTCATTTGTTTAGTGAATAAATTCCACCTACGATTAACGTCCATTATCGCGATAATGATTGGCATTTCCAGTTAGTGTTGCCCAAGCATAATGGCTTCAATGTAGTATACTAGATTTATTCGTCAAGTTTTTTGTGAAACGCGGTATCTCATAAAAGCAAACGAACTTGTAACTTCTAACATACGACATCAAAGAAACTATTTTCAGACCCAATTTACTTTATCAAAGACACTTCGAAGAAAGATGTGTTCCTTTTTGTAGTGTAGTGTACATTAGACATTATAACAAGGCGTCATGTAATATCATTAAGGACTGATTTTTCAATAGTCAGATAAATGTTATCTGAGGAATGAAATTGTTGCTGTCACTGTCTTATACAAACATTCTGACGCGACAGCATCATAAATATTCCTCAAGTAACTTTGATCTAACCATTGAAAAGTCGGCCTTAAAATTGAATAAAATATAATTTGGGTTTTCGATATTTGATTCCTACAGACATATTTACTACGTGTATGGTTTAAAACCTGACTGGAACCAACACGACTTTTTTCACAATAGGATTTTCTCCTATGTCGTAGGTGCGCATAAACATCACATAGACATGACACCCGTAACAACCATAAAATTTGTGGATCACACAAAGATTTGTTCATATTTCCCTGCGTCACATGGCAGCCAATTGCCCAGCCACCGCATCAACCATGCAGTAAATGCAAATGCAATGAATTTGTCTAGTTATCAAGAACACAACTGCTTACCATCATTTAGTATGATTCATCTTAGTAAATCTCTAGAAGATCATTAAAACTTTTTTTTTGGAGATTGAAAATCATCAAATTTCTTCTTTCGCCCAGGGAATGTCACGAGAGGGAGTGCCAGACTCTTACTGACTTAAAACTCCACTGTTCCTTCTCCTGTTCTAGGCTGAGGCTGCGGTACCTTATTGCGCTTGTTCCACGACCCCGGCTAAATGTCAGCCCTATAGGGCCCCGTCTGTGGTGGTCTACTGGCTCTTTGAGGCGGTCGTGGAACGTTACGCGCCGTACACTTGGGTCTTTAGATAGTGTCTTCGGCCAAATCATTACCAAGTTAAACAGAAGAATCTTACCTTCGGTTTATACATATGGATAATGCCGTCAGCAGACCCGGGCAGGGTCACGCCTCTGACGAAAAAGATGGTTAGCACGATGTACGGGAAGAGAGATGTGAAGTAGACCACCTGGAACAATGCGGTGTTTGTTAGGTAATGATGATTTTCCACTACGTTCCTGTTGTTGTTAAGTTTATGTGTTTTGCGCAGAAATAAATGTCTTTCTTTCGTTTTCGTTCTTCTTTCTATTATGTTTGATGGTTGACATTTTTTAAGAAGACCTTCCTCCTAATTTATTATTCCTCTTTATTCCATCTGGTTGATCAATTTTTAAAACATTGGTTATGTATTTTTTGCAAAAAAACACTTTTGATTATTGACCGAAATATCTGGATATGGACTGAAGACACATTTTATACTGAGTGATGATGTTGCAAACTCCTACACCTTTTCATTTGTTTCATCCAACTATTACTTTAATTATTATGTTTTCGGCTTACTCACGTAATCATTTGACGAGATACTCGAGTAGCAGCGCGTCAGTCGCTGAGTCGCGTGTCGCGGAATGCTGCTCATGAATATGAGTCTCTAGCATGGCTTGAAACTAGTCGAGTATCTCGTCAAATTATTACGTGAGTGAGCCGAAGACGTAATAATTAATTTAGAATGTCTCACGAAAGTTATAATACAACTATGTATTACTTTGTTACATGACAAAGTGAGTTCAGACTTCTCTTATATGCTTTCAATTAAAAACATTTTAGTGCGTCAGATAATACTTCTTTCTTTTTTTAATTATTTAACTGATGCACTAAAAATGTTTTTAAATTTCACAACGTCGCCCCTATCGTCGTTCATAACTCCTGAACTTTGCGCACTGCTAAAAAAGGTCTTATTAGTCATAACAAAAGCATAGATACACACAATCCTGAACCGCTTAAAAAAATACTCTTTACTGTAAAAAACTCTGCTCTGAGGCTCTCCGAGAAGAATTGTCAGCGATGTTACGCTAACATAACCTAAAAAGACTGACCTTTCCACTGCTCTGGATGCCCTTCATCACAATAAAGAACACGATGATCCAAGCCAGAAGGAGGTACAGAACGATCCACCACCTCGGTACTCCTGGGTCTTCAATGGAAGGCGACGCGTCCAAGGCCTCGCGGTACCAGAAGTAGACGGTTGAAGAAGCTTTGTTGCATTCTGCTTCGCGAGTGCCGTTATCCGCTGGGCAATGGGCCCAGGGTAGAGTGTCGGCCGAAAGCTGGGGGCAAAAGGAATTGGTTAATGATGTAGGTAATTTCCAAGCAGTGTAGTTATTCATTGTCAAAATTCTTTACCTTTCCCAAGAAGCACACGGTAAGGTTTTTATGTGTGTGTTTTATATGTAAAAATGTACATAATCTATCTTTATCTTTATTTATATAAGAATGAATACCAATTTCACTTGGTCTTGATCAAGGCATCGCGCGGCAAGAACAATTTTGATAATTCTTTTATGCTGTGTTTTTTACGACCAGGAGAAGGTCTTCACTAAAGATTGAATTTTTTTTGAAAAGTAGTGCTGTAAATTGGGTTATACTTGAAGTAACCGTTTGGATGCTGTAGCAGTTGCTAACAAAACAAATGACTCGCATCTAAGTGTGGGTCGGCTTGATTGGAGTGATACCTTGGCCTTACAAAAAACCGGTGCCAAACAACCACAGCGTTGTGTTTCACCCGAATCCCTGATCCCCAAAAGGCTGGCAACGCACTCGTAACTCCTTTAGTGTTGCGGGTGTATGGACACCCGCCATCGACACTGCCCATGGGGGCAGTGTCGATGGCTTCATGGGCAGTGTCGATGGCTTACCAACAAGTAATCTATAAGCTCGTTTGCTCGTTTATATCATGAAAAACAAAAGTTAGATATCCTGGCTAGGTGGGGTCGGGTCGCTAGCAAAGTATACAAATAAAGAATAATACACCAACAATGACTTACCCGAATACTGTTGAATAGATAAAAGAACACCCAAGTGATGATGACGTTGTAATACAAGGCTACAAAGAGCGTCACCATGCAGCTGGAGATGCCAATGCCGCCGAGCCACGGATGTATGGTGTTCCACACGCCAAGGGAGCCAAGCCGCATCTTCTGGCCTATAGCCATCTCTATCAAGAAGAGAGGAATCCCTTCCAGCACCAACATGATAAGGAACGGGATGAGGAACGCTCCTGTGAACAAAAAAAAAAAAACAATTGAGCTTCATTCGAGGATAAAATAATACCCCCTTATTACAAAACAAGGTTTATCTTTAGTCCAGGTTTAAACCATTGAGTCGGGTTTTGAATTTTGAATCTTATTGTCATCTACCTTCAATTCGAAATACGAAAACTGGCTCAGTGGTTTAGTCCGAGACTAAAGTAAAACCTTGTTTTGTAATAAGGCCGATAGAGTTTAATCGACTGGTGGTTGGGAATCAGCGCCATCTATGAACATGGTGTAGGTATTAGGTGTCTGGTAATTCCACTTACAAAATAAAACGCAATGTAAAGCTTTATTTCACTCCATGTGTTTTCTGTAAGGTTGTGGTGTCACTCCGGTCCCGGTCTCCGGAACCATGAGTCAATTTGTTCATTGCTAGAGTTGGCACTGAACTTCTCAGCTTTTATTTATCTTTATATTTATTTATTATTCTTGTAACAAAATATACAGTGAATGGTGCACTTAAGGTATTCAGTAACAGTCAACCTTACTAATCAAACCAATGATTGCACCATTAGTCCATTATTAATTTAAGTAACTACCTATTCACTATGTAGTACAAAACAAAGTTGCTTTCTCGGTCCCTATATGTACGCTTAAATCTTTAAAACTCAGCGACGGATTTTTTGTGTTTTTTTTTAATAAATAGACTGAAGAAGAAGGTTGATATGTAAAATTACATTCATTAAATAGTGGAAGAAGTTTATTATTAGCATTGCACCCGTGCGAAATTGGAGCAAGACCCTAGTATCCTTTAAATTATACCAAAGATTGTACAGTAATTTTATACACCTCGTTGGCCAAATAGACGCCATTTTCCTTTCACGTTAAATTCCAAATTCAAAAGTAAGCTTTAAAAAAGCAAGCATATACGATAAACGTATTAAAATAAAAATAACCTTGAATACATATGTACCTACATGACATGTCAGTTGAAAATATTCACGGCACTATTTTCAAGGACAGGAACTTGTGGTATGTACTTTTCCTACACTTAGGTAAATTAAAAATTAATCGTTGTTGTAGCTTTAGTCCTACGATTGTTTTGTTAGTCGCTTTTTATAGGACTTCTAGTCTATTCTAGGTCTGGTATTTACACTTTTGAAACAAGAAAACACTGAATTAATTTTTGTGAATATGCTTTAAAAGTAACGTCAATAAAGACTATTATAAAGCCGGCATTTCCTATCTGACTGGTTAGAAGAAATGCCAAAACAAATTCAGAGGTTAATCTTTCCAGCCGGGGTTGCAGGGCAAGCTCGGCCTGACGCAGGAGCAGGAGAGGAAGGGTTTTTAGTCAGAAAGAGTCTGACACACCCCCTCGCTTCACCTTGTATGGGAGAAGTTATATTGATCATGATATTCCCTCACAAAATCGAAATTATTAGTTTTGACTAAGTTAATTACCTAATTGCGTATAAATACTAAAGATATAAGGGATGCCTTGTCAGAAATTCATATCTGCCGCCAAACAACATGCATAAAAAAACGTTTGAAATTGGAACTTACTATTTTTTTCCTATACTATTATAAAAACAATTATACCATAGCTGTTTACTAACCATCTTTAAAAATAAAACTTGGTAAAATGTGAATGCAAAATGGCAAACGAAATTGGCGACATAATTGATGCTGGTGGAGTTCCCAAACGAATATTATTAAAATTTTGGCAGGGTGCCGAAAATATATTTTGGTCTTTTTTCTTTTAATTTAATATAAGAATGTTCGTTTTGTTAAAAAGGAATAACAGATGAGTAAAAGTGCTAGACCCAGTCACAGTCGTCTAGCTTAATTAGCCATTCAATCAACTGCCTAAATGACTAGCTGTTTGATTGAATGACTGAATATCTGTTTCAGCACAATAATTGGTTTTTGTATATTTGTATATATAATGTATAATAGTTGCAGTTCTAACAAAGCCCAACCTTCCATTCTAGCAGTAAATCTGTTTCCACAAAAATACCTTCATAAGTAAGTTTAAATGAGAAATCAGATTATTAGATATTAGCTTTTGCCCGCTACCCTGTTCGCATAGAATAGTGACTTCCTTTCTCGAGTTCTAAACTATGTATGTATAAATTTTCACAGAAATCATCCGTAGTTTAGGCGTGAACAAAAAAGACAGACATACAGACAGACAGACAAAGTTACTTTAACATTAGTTTGGATATCTATACTTATATAATACTTATAGAAAAATAATACTTGCGTATTATTTAGAACATGCAAGCCAATTTGACTGCAACATCAACATCATCAACCTATGAGTGCCCACTGCTGAGCAAAGGCCTCTTCTCATACGGAGAAGGTTAGAGCATTGACCACCACGCTTGCTCAATGCGAGTTGGCGATTTCAAACTTATAATTGGAAATTATAAGTCCAGGTTTTCTCACGATGTTTACCTTCACCGTATGTCAGTGGTGTCTAAATAATCATAGAAAGTACATATAACTCGGAAAAGTCACATTGGTACTTGCCAGGTTTCGAACCCACACCCTCATGCATGAGAAGCGGGCTCCTTAACTTCCAGGCGACCACGACATTCATTGCAATTTGACTGCAAAGTCTTTAAAAAAAATCATCAACAGTTTTCCCTCACCTTCCAATACACTACAAAATGCTGAACAACGAACCAATAAAAGGTCAGCTTAATATCAATTTATAAACGAACTAACAGTATGCTTGAACTGGCCGCTTGTTTATCCTCTTTTATATCAGCACGATGCACTTTTGAGAGTCAGTGAAAATTTAATACCAGATCTAAACAAGGTGGTACTAAACTATTATTTAGGTAGGTAGCTTGTTAGGATAGGCATAACGTTGAACATTTTTTGTGGTTTTATAGTCAACCAGTTTTAATGGTAATACTTTTAAATATTTATTATATGTATAAATAATTTTTCTTTTCCTTTTTTCTTTAGAAAAAACGTTGCCCAACACTAGGATTTTCTCCTGTGTCGTGGGTGTGTTTACGAACATACAATTTCACATACACATGACAAGCAGACCCGGAACAACAATTTATGGATCACACAATGAGTTGTTCCGTGTGGGAATCGAACCCGCGATTGCCCAGCCATCGCGCCAATCGTGCTGTCTAATTAGCTACTGCCGCGCGTTTTCGCCCGCTGTTACAGATTATAGCGTGATGTTTATAGCCAATAGTATTCTGGAAAATTGTAGCTGTTATGAGTTATATGTACTTTCTATTATTTAGACACCTCTGACATACGGTGAAGGTAAACATCGTGATTAAATCTGGACTTATAATTTCTAATTATAAGTTCGAAATTTCCAATCCGCCTGGAGCAAGCGTGGTCATTTAAAGGCTAAAGATATGATAATCCAAACTAATATTATAAATGGGAAAGTAACTCTGTCTGTCTGTCTTTTCTTCACGCCTAAACTACTGAACCGATATCTGTGAAATGGTACAGACATAGTTTGGAACTCGACAACATTGTTTTTATACCAAAATCGGCAGGAAGTTACTTTTCCTCTGTATGGAATGGTCGCGGGCAAATATAAAGTAGTAGTAGAGATATAAAAATAACACGTAGATATTCAGGTGCAGAAATTAATACTGTCAATCCACTAGAGTAAGTATATCTAGTGTATTTATAACAACAACGCCTGGCCTGACCTTTTCAAAAAACCTTTTTAAGAGCAATAAAATCCACAGCCCTCATACGCATACATTACGAACAAACAATACAGAGCTATTGTTATCGAAATCACATTTACATTCAAAAATCGCCCTTATTGCTAACAAAACAAGGGTGTAATTGTTAAAGATAAATATCAGTATTTATTTACGTCCAATCTAATCACATAAAGAATCGTTCTTCTATATTTAGCCCGACCGTTGTCTCTGAGTATTGATTTTAAAATAGCTACGTGCTACGAAATTGCGACGTAGCTCGTAGACTTTGCTACGGTACTACGGCTACGAAAGAAAGTAAGTTACTTTAATTGACATTCTCTTGGTGATGTTTAGTGTAAAGTTGTATAAGTTATGGATAGCTTTCTATTGTTTTTTGTTCGTTTTCATAAAATTTTAGCTCTTTAACTTGGACCTCAGGTTTATACAATGCGTACTCTTTTTTTTATGAGGGGAAAATCATCAAATGACTTCTCCTGCCCAGGGCTGTGCAGCAGGGAGTGTCAGACTCTTACTGACTAAAAACCGCTGAAGTCGCGGTGCCTCATTGCGCTTACCTCGCAACCCCGGCTGAATATCAGCCCTATAGGGCCCTGTCTGTGGTGGTCTTTTGGCTCTTTGAGGCGCGCGCGGAATGCTACGCGTCGTACGCTCGGGTCTGGTTCTGGTCGGGCGGCGAGCTACTTTTACTCGCCGTCCGCAGACCCGCGCTTACGGTGACTGGAGATCGTCTCTCTACAATGTGTACTCTTAATATAATAATATTAATCAAATAGGTTTCAAATAATACTAATCTGTTGTCTGTTATGAGTGCATTTATTTTACAAATTTAAAAACAAAAGCCACTCAGACTTGGAACAACAATTTATCGATCAAAAAAAGTATTTTTTCGTCTATGAATCGGAGCCGCGACATGTTGTAAAGAGAAATGGTTTGGTAATAATTTCTGTATTGTAATGAGTCCTCGATGCCATTAGAGCAATTCGAAAAAAAATCTCATCGTTCCTAAGCCAACTTCATTAACACGGGTTACATTCTAATCGAGACCTCTCATCTTTTAAATCTCTAAGTCAAGGAGCTCTTTCTACATAACAAGCTGGCCTAACTATATCCTGTTTTCTTAATTAAAATATTTTTCGTAGAAAAGTTGTCCTGCCAATAACCAATGACCGCTCCAACCGTGCAATTATGTGTGTATAACATATTTTAGGTTTAATTAATTAAACTGTGCAATACCATCTATAAAATATTCAGTCACATTCACTAACAAAATTAATTAATTAAAATCCCTTCACGTTCTCCAATAC